CACTTCCTTAATTTAGATGTGCTGTTAAGATTGAGAAACCATAATTTTAATACTTCTACAGTAATAAAAATGCAAAGCAGAGAAGATGTAGCTTCAATATGAGTATGTCTTGTATTCTTCAGAATATCTGGACTCTGCAAATCATGTGTTATAGATGACAATACGTTTTTCCACACAACAGGTTGAAAAGGTGTTATGTATTCAGCACTTGGATTTAATTATAACATGTCTTTCCATTCAGAAAAGCATAGCTTATATTCTGAGGTATGTGGCTGCAGAGAGGATATGGGTACTGGTTCTGTGTGGACCAGTCCAAGTCCATCGTGGCTCACACCGAATCAAAATTCAGCTGTTGGCTGTGGTAACTGGACTGTTGGTGTCTCTGTGCTGTGCTTCTCAGCAGTCTTACTAGCTTGGCTGCACTGTGTGCTGCTTGGCAGTCTTACTTGGTTGGCTCTGTGTTTTCAGGATATGCAGCACCAAACAGATGAATCCTCTCCTGACCTTCAACAGGGGATCATCATGCTGACGCAGGACTTGCTTGAGATGTAGGTAGATTTGGGGTTGGTTCATGGAAAAATAACAATTGCCCACATCATGCTCTTAGTTTCCAGACTGTAGCAGATGGACCCTAGAGCTGGTTTGACAGATAAGTAGCTGAGGTCTGTCACAATTTGAGCTTAGGCTCTGAGCAGTGCAGGAGACATGAGCCTGTTTCATGGACTCGTGATGGCCGTAGAAGCAGCACTGTGCAAATGTAGTTGTGCTCTGAATAAATTAAATAAACTCAGACCCCAAGATGCGTTGGCATTAAGCCAGTTCACTTGTCTGCATGTTTGATGCACAACTTGGGCGACTAAGAGCTGGCTGTGCTTCTGCTGCATATGTTGATTATTAGCATGGTACATGGATTTATTTTTTTTTTCTGCTTTGTGTAATAAGACAAAGTTATTTCATCATACCAAATTGGTCAGAATTCTTTTTACACAGGCTATTGGGGAATGCTGGGTGAGGGAAATTAGGGAATTGTGTACTGCTGTGAGATGTCCAAAATGATTTACAAGCAGGAAGGTGCTGTGTTGAGCTCTGGGAGAGGGAAATGACTTGGGGCAAAAGTTGCAGATATCATTTGGTCTCGTGCACTGCATGTAGTCTTGAATGAGTATTGTTCATCTCTAAGTATGTAAATTGCTATATTTTTGTTAAATCATGCCAACAGTGAAAACTAGTCCATCCTTCTCAGTATTAAATATTTGCTCCCTTTGAGAGCATCAGTGTTGAATGAGTTTCTTCACACAAAACCTAAACGGACAAGTCTTTGCAGCTTCTGTAAATATACCCTGTAAAGCAGATCAAATCCTGTAAAATAAAATGTAATCACATCCAGCAACGAAGAATAGAGTTAAAATTATGACATCCTTGTCACTTAGCATTAATGAAAATTGCAGAGAAGACAAAAATGGTATCCTTGAGTATTTGTATTACTGTCTGTTGGCTTTAAAAAAAAAAGCAAAAATGTAAGTTTTCCTTATTTTTCAAAGGAGATTATGAAGTGAGTATTTGTATGCAGGACCTTGAAAACAGCATTGGAATTAAATAATTGATAAAACATAATGGATGAGTTTGGAATATAAATATGGGTAGAAGTATGGCTAATATTGATGTAGAAGAAAGGCAACACTGGCTGTAAAGGAAAGCTAAGTGATAGAGAAGGAGAGGCATAATTTCTGGAGCTGTGATGTTTAGTGATCTCTTGGAAGCTTGAGAAATCAGTTTGTTGGTACAGCTGCAGTGCTTCGGGACTAAACCATAAAGCTCACCTCTGTTGGAAAGAGTTGATAGCTCTTATCTTTTGTAATAGTGTATAATCTCTTGATAAGTGTTCCACTTTAAATGATTGAAGTGAAATTAATAGATAAAAAATGCAGAGTTTTGAGGGGCTAAGCAATATGCATTGTATTCATGAACATTTCTTCCTCTAGTTCTAGCTTCTTCAGTTGTAAATCTTTCCCAGTGACAGAAGAAAAAATTCTTGTAATCAAAATGTAGAAGTTTATAGAGCTTCTTTCTAAAGAACGAAGTGCTTTTGAGTATGCTCAAAAAGCAGATTACTGTAAACATACTGATAAAGTAAAAGGCAGTGTTAACATTGTCTATATCTACTTAATCTGTAGCAGCCTATTACAAGGAGTCTTTAACTCGTTTTGAAAACCAGTAATTTAAAATGTTTCATGTTGGCAAATCATCAAAATCAATTTCCTGTTACAGGAATAGTTTTTCTTACATTTATCTTGTCTGAGGGAAAGTTTTCTCTCCATGTATTCTTTCATGCTTGATTAATGTGATTCAGCTCCTGCTAAATCATGAACAATTCTATCAGGCTAAAGCTTCACAAGTGGTAAAGTTACCTCCTGAAGCCTGCATGGCTTGCAAAGCCCTAGGTTTCAGTTCAGTAGCCCTTCTTGAGTACCTGGGGCAGGGGGTATAAGGAATGCTTGAAAGACACTATCAGTGTTCAGAGATGTGAAAATCTTTTTCTCTCAAATTTTTATGATAAAACCATTGAGTGCCTCATTTAAGCAATCTGGAAGTGACAAAGCAGGTAAGAGGCTGTAGACCATAGATATAATTGATAGATAGCTGTAGAAATAATTGACAGCAAAGATGTCTGTTTAATTGCAAGGAATACAATATTTGAGTGGAATTCTTTGTCACAGCAAAACCACATAGAACCTCTGTACTAATTTTTAGTGCATCCTCCCAAATATGATTTCTTTGTGGGTTTTCTTTGTCTTAACTGACTTCTGTGTCTTACGGTATCCTTTTTGTAGGTCTCATTTGGTTAATGGCACTAGAAAAAACTTTTCTAAACCTAGAACTTGGTTCTAAGCTTAATTTCCTAGCTGTACTCTAATAGAAATCATCTAGTTTGCCCTCAAGAATTGAAATTGTTGCAAATTGAGAACTCCTAAAATAGTTGGCTACGATTTTTTTTTCTTCTCTCTAGACCTTTTTCAAAGCAAGTTTCCATGGTCATGGTATAGTCCATAGTCCTGAGCAATAGTTAAGTCTATGTTGAGAAGTTCACTGCTGTCTAACTTTGTAAGTAATATGTCAGATTGTTCTCTCAGATCATTTTGACAGGACTGTCACTTGACCATCACTAGAAATATTGATTCCCTACACCCCTGTCTCCTGGGCCAGTCTTCAAGACAGATTATTGTTCTGTTCAAATACCGCAAGTGTTTTCCACCTGAAATTATAATCTTGTGCAGCCATTACATCTTGGTGGTTCTTGCTTTGTTATGACAAAAGATCAAAACAGTTCAGAGACAAGTGTTCTTAACAATGTCCTATGTACTCTGGTAATGTATGTAACTGTAGTCCATTGAGACATTTCAGTGATTCTGGACTTCCTATACTGTGTGTTTCCCAAGATCATGGTTGCAGTGGTCTCATGAAAAGCATGTAGTCATATGTTTGCCAGTTGGTATAAACTGGGTAGTTTTCAGTAAGTCATCTGTTGCTAATCTTCGTCTCTCCATGAATTAGCATTGGTTTAGTTCATGCTGACTATGAACTAGTAGAGTTGTATATGGTAGTCTAGGTTTTAGCCTAGAGTTCCAATGTGTTGACAGTTTCAATAGTCTTTAATTCATGAAGAACTCGCTATGAAGACTCATGTAATCTCAGCTGATTTCTATTAACCACCTTTCCCACACTTTATGGATTCTTGTAACTTGGCTTTCGCTGTGTAACATGAGCTATTGCAGTCATTGCTGAAAATAGAACTTGCTGATGGGACTTGCCTTGATTTTTCTGCTGTTTTCTATTATACTCTTCACCTGAGCAAGAAGTGCTGGTAGCTTGATCCTGTGGGTTGGGATAAGTGAATATGTATAAGACCTCATAGCTTCTGTTGCTCTAGTAACTGGTTGATATTTTCAGACTACCACAGTGCATATAATTTGTGCTTTTTCTATTTAAAAACCCAACAACACAACCCAGCTAACAAAACCCAAGAGCCTGGCAGAGTAAGCGCTGTTTTGGAGAAGCAGTTTGCATCTTCAAAGTCTCAGTAGAACTAGGGAATCTTCCTTTCTATATGTCATGACTTGAAATTTCCTAATTCCAAGATCTCAAAATAAATGAATACATTTGCATTGGAAAGAGTAAAATGTTTCATTTCAAATTAGAATCTGTGTATTCCAGTACAAAATTAAGCCATTTCAAAATGTTTCAGGAAATGTAAAGAGAATAAACTGTTGAAGTTCTTCTGCCTGCTGCTCATCTTCCCACCCTGCTTTTTAGCTTGGATCAAAACTTGGAAATGAAACCTCCACCATGTGGAGTGGCAGAATGTGGTTGGTAATTTCTGTTGCCAGCTTTTAAAGTATGTATGTTCTGGTAGTCGCATCCCCCTAATATTAGTGCAGTGCATTTTTTACAGTGAACAGCTTGTTTAAAATGATATACAATAGGCTTTGCTATTGCTTTCAATGAATTTGTTTGAGCAGAAAACACTAAAGTTTTACCCTGTAAGGCCAGCAGGGGCTTTAACTCTGATACCTGAAAACTCAGCTTTTTCATTTTTGTGGTATGGATTGTATACTCCTGTATTGGAATACGCTCAAAACAGACTCCATCATTTGAGAGGGCTGGGAGTGGATGGCAAAGTATTCTGTCTGGAAGCTTCATCTTTTGAAGTTCAGTTTTGTAAGTCTCTGCCTGGATATGATAAGTGGGAGAGGAGGGCACATTGCAAAATCTTGTCTCTAAATCATTAAAAAAATATATAATCTCATCATTTGTTGGTTATGCAAGTGAAACAAAAGGCTGCAATGGTTTAAACTGATATGCTATTTAATGAAGTGTTAGCAAGAAGTGTTAGCAGTTTTAGCAGTATTTCTTTTTATAGTGATTGTTAATAACTGAAGTGTAAAGAGTTTGAGACCTGTAAAATCTAAGCATTATGCGTGTCTATATATATGTGCACACAGGAAACCTCGACCTGTCTCTCAGCTGGTTGCACAACAGGTTCCTCAGCAGTTCGTGCCCCCTACGCAATCAAAGAAAGAGAAAAAAGACAAAGTAGAAAAGGAAAAAAGTGAAAAGGAAACAACAAGCAAAAAGAACAGCCATAAGAAAACCAGGTAAAAATTTTAGAAACTTTTGCAGTATTAGTAGAACACAATTTAGAAAAGAAAATGAGAAAATATTCCATTGTTTTACATCTTTGTAAGTGCTGTGGCAAACTCACCAAGAAGGTTAAATGTGTGTGAAATTTCATTGGGTTAGGATGCCTACTAAATGCGAAGAAAACCTGCAGTTTGGAATTTTGACCAGAAGATGGAGACCAGCTGAATATGAAGAAAAAGACTTGGCTGTTCTTATTAATGGTTACAGATGTATTTCTCACACCATCTAAAACTGTAGATAGTCAAATGGAAAATACTAATCTCTGGAAAAGAGAGGGGACAGGAGTGACTAGTTTTTGTGTAGAATAATAAAATGAACCAGTGACAGACTGCAGAAGAGTGGTAATGTGGTTATTGCTATCCTTGCAGAACTGGAATAAACTTTGAAGGGCTGAACTAGGGTATAAATCAATGTGACGGTATAAGGCATGTGTATTACCTAGTGATAAGTCTGTGTTACATCTGGATGCTGAAGGAAACCTTGGACTCTTAGAACTGAAAACATGAAATATTACAGTACAGACAAGCTGTTGTTAAAGCCTTATCCTGATCAGGTGGAAGGAGGGTGCAAACTGCAAAACAAAAGCAGCAAGTTTAACCCCTAAATCATTATAGTCTATGCATAAAACATATTGTGGCAAGAATGCCATGCCAAAAAAGTTGAGAAGTATGAGAGACGTGTAGCCTAATCAAATGTGGGAGGAAATATTGATTTTTGGTTTTGTTCTTTTTATTGTTATTTTCATTTTCTGGAGGCACTCCAAAGTAGTCCAGCCAAGGAAGATCATTTGGATTAGTTATGCAGAGAAGTAGCAGATGCTTCTCTTGTTCCTGAAATAGGATCATCAGGATAAGAACTTCGAAGAGATTTAGAGTCAAGAAAGAACAGTCATTAAGAAAGTCATGGTTAGGATTAAGGACACTGAGATGTTCCTTCCTTTGTTTTTCTTTAATGCTCAAATTTACTAGCTTGCCTCATGCAGCTGAAGTACTCCAGTTATGAAGTGTTTGAAGTTAACATAGTATTAACTAAGGTAGCTAAATATTATAAACTGAAGTATTGGTGGTTGAATTGCAATAGGACATTAAAAATGCAGAGGTGAGGTAGGGAAGGAGGGAGAGCGTTTGACAGATAACTAAAATAAAAATCTTGGACTGAAATGCCAATGTTGAGATTTGCATTAAGAATTGTTATTTGAAATAATTAAGCTACTTTTTAAATGCTTCGAACAGTTCAGTTTTTCACAGAATTGATTCACATAGAAAGTTAGCAATGCTTGGTTAGTTTAAGCAGATTTCTTCAGTGTCTTCTGGCAAAAGGATATTCTTCTCTCTTTGCCTTTAAACTTGTACATCACTGCTGGAAAGGACCATAAAAATCTGCGCGCACGCTCAAGATGATTAATAAGCTCCTGGCATGGTGCTTATGCGGGTTGATAATGCTGAGTTTTTCTCTCTGTTCCCATGTTTCAGAGCACCAGATTTTCAGTTTTCTCTTGAATTCTTCAATCTTGCTACTTCAGCCTCAGGGGAACAAGCTGTGAAAGCCTGTCTCTATTCTAGTGGAGGAAAGGTGCGAGGTGGTTCAGCTGAAGTGAATGGGAGCCAATTTTACTTCAGACAAAGTCAGATGATAGGGTAAAAGTCAGGGCTTCGCTGTTAGTGCACCTGCTAACGTGATGTCATTTATTGCAGCTTGAATCAGGTCAATACATAAAGCTATGCTTTTCATAACAGCTTGTATAAATTCAGCTGTCTGGTGACAGTTTTTCATGGTAGTCAAAGGAAAGTAATAAATTGGAAGTACTTTATGCTTGTCACTAGCAAAAATATGATGGTAGAATATAAGTGAAAGTGTTCTTTGGTACTCTTCATTGTGAAAATCAAACAATTGAAAGACTAGATGAAGAGACTTGGGCTGTTAACACTGAGTGTAGCGCTCAGCTCTGTGCATAATTGAAACCACATCATATGCCAGGATATACCAGAGTTGCACTGTGAACAGAGTCCAGTTCAAATAATACATGAGCAGTCCTAGTGAAGTTCTGAAATGAAGTAATGCTTGTTGCAAGTTAACACTGTCTGTGCTGTTGAATTCAAAAATCAGAAACCAATGTCTTCATTACTGAACATCATTCTCTATTTAGAATTGTTGCTTAAGGTCACTGCAGGCATGGATGCTTCTCTGGATCCAAATTATAAATTTCTGTAGCCATAATGAAGACAGGCTTAATTTTTAGAAGCCTTTGGAAAACTTCACATGTGCAACAAACACGTCCATGTTCCTTCACAGTCACATTATTTATAAGGTTAACTTATAACTTTTAAATAATCTTAGGAGAAGGAAATGTGTTGCATTCAGCTATTTTAATGTAAAACATACTAGGCAACAGTCTACCATAAATACTTGTGGTATGTTGTTTTTCTATGTATTACATGTTGCACATAGCAGTCTTATGTACACATACATGTTCTCCAGAGCTCCTAATAAGTAAGATAGTAAGATGGGTTGTGTGCTTTTAATATGATTATTTGCTTTATTTAGGCCAAGATTGAAAAATGTGGATCGAAGTAGTGCTCAGCATTTGGAAGTTACCGTGGGAGATCTTACAGTCATAATTACAGACTTTAAGGAGAAAACTAAGTCACCACCTGCTTCCAGTGCTGCTTCTGCAGATCAACACAGTCAGAGTGGTTCTAGCTCTGACAACACAGAGAGGGGAATGTCCAGGTCATCCTCACCCAGAGGAGAAGCGTCGTCACTGAATGGGGAATCTCATTAAAGTTTATTTCCTCAGTTTCTTTAGTCTCTTCTCTTCAAAACATGCAAACACATAACTTCTGTCACCTGTTACCACATTTTCATGACAGATTGTTCATGCACAATTGGTATGTTGACTGGAACATAATTTATGCAGTTTTAAATAAAGGAAAACAAAGTGCAGTGGTAGAAACAATAATTTAAATTCAACCTACAAATGCTTACAAACCATTTTCAGACCAACTTTTTAATCTTCATGTGTAAAGGTGCCATGAAAATGTGGTTCGAATGTTCATTATGCAGTGTTATTGGTAAGTCCATTTTCACCTTTAGTTTAGTGAATTCTAACACAACTCTTGGAGTCTTTACTATTGGCATGTACTGAATTTAAATTTTTATAACATAGTTCAAGCTGCCTAAATATGTATTATTTGAGAATTGTGAAACAGTTATATGTATGCAAGTCAAAGATCAACTTAATCAACTATTGCTGCAACAGAATTTTCATAATAATTATCTTAAAAACACCTGCTGGTACTTGGTGTGGTTAAATAGGGAAAATGTTATTAAATGAAACATTTGTATAAATTTTTGCCAATGTTTGACACATTTTGCTAGATTACTGTTACTGAGTTATGTTGATGGGTTTACCAATATTTTTTCACACTTTAAAACACTTATTGTAATGTTTACAAGCAAAATAGAAAACATTCTAAGCATTGATTTGTTAACCTTACAATTCAGGTAAAGTATGACATTGTCACTGTACACTGTTATTCTATGTTGTGTAACAAATATTGAACCTCAGATGATGATGAATTTGACAAAACCCAACATTTGGAAATATGAAAGTTTGGAAAAGCTTTAAAATAGCAGAAGTGCAGTTCTCATTTCTGCTTAGTGCTGTTTCCTTGGCCCAAATTTATCTAGTGTCACATAGTCACTTATTTCATCACATGAATATCAGGTGTTGCACAAGAATAAGGAAATAACAGTACTATTAATTTTTTGTTCCTGAATCAATTTCTTTGATATTGATTTGGCCTATTAGAATATATTACGTCATAAATCATATTAAAAAACTCAGTACCCTACTTTATGGCATAAACTGCCAACATTTATGCACTTAGCAATATCATGATGCAGAGCAGAACTATTTACAATCCCATCTGGTATTATGTAAAATTACTAATAAAATATTTTTGTGAATACAGATTTTGCATTTTTGTTTACAACCAATAAGTGTTTTGACACACACATGCAATCCATATATAGATTTTAAATTATAGATTCAGGTTCAGTACAAATGTCCATTTAGCTCCTTTTAGTGAGGTAGTCTGCTTATTCCTATGATTCTTTTCTTTTTCATTCAAAGTAAATATATTTTTAAGCCCATGTAAAAGTTGGATAGACCTTATTGGTAGTGAATCCAGCCCCAGATTATTACCAACGTATGATATGTCTCCTAACAGCTAAAGCAATGGATTTTTGTAGCCCCTGACAATTGTGATGTTTGGTGGTTTCTTGTAGTAACGTATTTTTCTGTTTTTAATGCAGTACTTCTACAGGCACAATGGTACTGTTCTATTTTGTAAGATGCTAGTTGTGAAATAGTTAGTTGCATAAAATGAAAGTCTGATGTGATATCTGAGAACATACATACCTCATTCCTTGGTGTTGCTGTTTAAACTTTTTAGACATCAAATGTTAATTATAGGCTATTTCCGATGATAACTACTGACCTGTTTATTATGTATTCTGCTTTATCTTACTAAATAGGATGTCTGTTCATTGCCATTACCTGGCCAAATCTTAGTATCTGTAAAACAATGCATTTTAAGGTTCTTAAATGTTTTGGGGGCTGGGCTGGTATGCAGAATAACATACACTAGTTTTGGAAAGAAAAAATACATGCTTCTCAACTTTATTATAATTTTTTTTATATTTCATTTTTAGGTGGGACTATTTGCAGAATATACTGATGTAAAGGATTACAAGGGAGCTGAAACTGTTTAAAGTAAGCAGTTTAATGATAGCAGATCTCAGTGAAAGATGTTTTATGAAATGTGTTTCTAATTTAAAATGTAATGAATGCTAACACATTTCAGAATTCCTTGCAAACAAATAATAACCTATTACCAGTAGTTCACTAAATGCAAAACGTATTTTCGTTTAACTTTATGTGAATAAACCACCCAGCACTTGCCAGCAAGAGGGCTCTTTGTATCTTCAGAAATAAGTTGCCATTTGGTTTGGACGGAAGGGAGGATGAAGTGGACTTTACTATGATTCAGCTGTTTCCAGAGAAGAATCTCAAAAATGTGGTATAAGTATGGTTATAATCAGAAAGAATACAGAAAAGTCTCACTGTTCTTTATGGAATAAGAGATAGAAATGCAGTTTCTAATCAGAGATACAGTTGTAAAATCTCTAATTCTAGATCCTACTAATCTAGGATCTAAAAACTGAGCTGTGGTGGTTTTAACTGAACTATTACGTTGCCAGCGTTTACATTGCAATGATGCCTGTTTTGGCATTTGTTAAGGTAATGTTTGCCTGTTTGTGATAAAGGGATGTGACAATATTGACAGCAGAGTAAGACGAATTCTAAGTAGGATATGGCATTTGGCTCTGTTCATGTTATAATTTAAATGAACTTCACTTTCATAATTTCTAAATATTTTTGACTTGTAGTAATCCTAAAACTTTTTTCTAACTGTAAATATATTTAAAAGCATCCTTACTCCATTTATAAAAGGTGGAAATTTAATGTTGTAATGTGTTTTGATTAGCTGTTTTTCTCTGTGACTGCTCTCTGCATAAGAACTGTTATTTGTTAAATCTATATATGCACCAGTTTTCAACAGCCATACATCCTGGGTTGTTCATTAAGTGGTGACCCAACAAAGACAAGTGTGATAGTGTTCCATGTAAATGAGTTCCTTTATGTGCTGATTGTCTGGTTTCAGAAAGGAAAAAGGGGGAGAAATGAAGGAAAATCAAGTATAAATAGTTCATTGATACAGTGTACAATAATACAGTCTCTTATATTCCTGACTTTGCCACTAATTATAGGTGGTGTAAGGAAGAGAACAAATACACAGCTGTAGACTGTGATCTACTTTTTTTTCTGAATTTAAGTTTACATATTGGAGATAAACAGAAATTCTTCTACTTAGTAGCAGGTTAAATTATGCCATAGAAAATCACATATAACAGAAATGGTAGTAAAAAATCTCAACGTTAAAAATGTTAAAATTCGTGATATTAAAAGTCTTGAGATGATGACTGAAGTTTTAACCTATTACATGTTTCTCTATTTGTTTTGGGGCATAAATTGCAGAATCTCAAAAATGGTATGATTTTATAATTTGTGCACTTTACTCTTTTTTTTTTTTTTTTAACATTATGGATAGCACATTTTTAGGTAGCTGTGTGAGAGACAGTTCTTTTTATGATTTCTTTCCACTGTAGTGTTCAGGCAGGTCTTCTAAATTTGGCACAAGTGTATGGCTCTGCATCTTAAATTCTTTAATTTTCCTCTTTCCTGTCTCAAAAACCTGACAGCTTCCCACATTGTGCTGATTGCTAAAACTTTTGTTATACAGGATGGATTTGGCATGGAACTGTCTTTTGTATACTTTTTATGTACATCCAGGGTTCTTTAACGGTATCTGCTTGGGTTTTTTCCTGTCACATGCCTTTATTTGACTGCTCCCTGCTAGGGAGTCCTGATATACTTCCTTTCAAATATCAGAAACTATATGGAGATAGAAATACTATTTAATTTAATTTCTCCAAAGGCAGCAGCAAGTGATATACTTGTAAGTTTGGCCTGTGCTTACTCAGGAATAAGATAAAAAAGGTGGTTTTGGCTAGTGGACCAGTGAAATATGCTACGTTGAGAATGCCTATTTCTGTGTTAAGAGTTGAGGTGCTGGAAATACACTTTGAGCTTTTGAAGGTTTTTCTTGGTTGAAATTATGCCCTGACTTAATGTCAGCCTCTTTCAACAGGTGTAACTTCAAAAACTAGCAACAGCTGTACAGTAAAATTGGGCAAATTGAGGAAGCTCAGCTGGTTTTCTTTTGTACTGTCAAAGTTTTAGTATGAGAAACTGTTTAAAGAGACTTAAAGAGATTTGTCTAAGACAACAGACAGATACTGCGCTTAGTTTGAATAAGAAGGATCCATGTTTTAATAAGAATTAAAAGGATTTAACTACTGAATTAAAATTGGAAAATTACTTCAAGTTAATTACAAATCAGTGCCTCACAGGTACTATAGACACTTCTTGTCTAGAATGGAGTAAATGGTGCAATAGTAATAGGTAGCTGCACACTTCCTAGAAAATGGTGTCACCCAATGGCAAGTGATGTTTAAGTGACATTCTTGAGGCATTACACAAGAATATTATGATATGCTTATGAGCAAGGCCTAGGAGTCCAGGTGTCCTCCCCCCTGCCTAAATTACACCATTTAATTTAAACAGTGAAAGAAAATGCAGCAAACAAACAAATTTGTTTCAGATCCTAGCTAGTAGTGCAGGAGCTGTTTACAGCTTCTATTTAATTGTAGTGATGAAAATGAATTAGAATGAGCCACCACTGTATAATGCGTAATCCCTCAGGAGACATTTTTGATCTTATCTTGCCTTTTTTGTTATGAGAAACAGAGAAAAGTAATGTGAAAGACCTTGCTCTGTCCATTGACAAAGGATTTTAAGAGCAGACAGTTTAACGTGCACTGGAAGTTTTAACTGTATTTCTAAGGAGTTAAACATGGAAGATGAAAGGCAAAATCATATTCCATAGCTCAAATGAATATTACTAAGAATGATCACAAGAGATTGATGCACCGTGTGGCATTTCTAAAACACAAAGTGGTAACATTGTCTAATCAGTCCTTGTCTTAAAAGGACATGTTTAAAGAGGAAATCACCACCAGGATAGTGTTCCACTAACAGTGGTTTAAAGAATAGTTCCAAAATGTGAATTACTCTGTGGAAAGTTTGGCTTATCTTGACATAGGTAAGAATGTCTGAGCAAGAAGCCCCTCAGGAGTACATTTTCAGGATCTAAGCCACCTGGAAAAGTGTAATCTTTAATTGCACTGTTCTCTGTTTATAAATATTGATCTCAGTCAAAGTGGTTGCAAAGTGAAGAAGCTCTGTTAAACTTTAAGATTTTAATAACTGTGGCTTTAGGCCACTGGTGCTCTAATTTACAGTGGAGTTATTGAGAAGACAGCTGAGGAAAAGAGGTGTGTTTTTTTTATAACCTGCTAACTGTGTGCTCATAATTCTCTATGAAGTAAAAGTATGCAGAAGAAGGAACTATTTGTAACCAGAGCTAATGAAATTTGGCTCTTTACCTGCTTTCCAAGCTCACTGGATTCTACAAATTCTCTTTGGTTCAAAGGCTGCCGTGGGTACTTTGCCACTAGAAAAGGATGGAGTTCAGTGGCTTGGCATCTGTTAGTTAAGACAATTGAGTGGTCAGGGCGATTCTGCTTTCTGAATGCCCACTTGGGAATACAGCGATCTAATTTGCATCCACTATATATCTACCATCCATGAATAATCTCTTTCAAGCTGATCCTTCTTTGCACAGAATAAATTAAAATGCTTCAGTGCCAAGCCCAGTTCCTGACAGCACTGGGCAAGAAAATCTGCCATCTGAGTGATCATCTCTTACTGTAACAGCCTTCAGGTGAAGCTGAATTAACTCATGTTAATCTAAGTAGGGGAAATTTCTTACAGTTACATGTATTCATTGAGTATCACTACTCCCCCGTGAAGGAAACACATTCTGATTCCTTCTTTCTTTTCTCTTTTGTTCTCTTAAAGTAAATCTATAGTTTAAGTGGATGTAGTGAGTTGGAAATAGTTTATTATGCCTGCTTTTCTAAGTGGGGAATTTGACTACTGTTCCCAGTCCTTCAACTCTTGTCTTGGTTTCTGTAACACCAACAGTAGTATGTGGAGCTGAGAGGTCATTATCAATTTTGTCAACAATTTCCCTGTTTCTATAGAGTTGATTTACTGAATGGATTCTTGCAGAGGAAACTTACACTGATCCTGCACCATTCAAGCACTCTGGCTGAGGTTGCTGGCATTCTGGGATGCCAATTACTGGTCTTCATATTGGCATTGCTGCAAGTGGTCTGATTCTATTGTTGGGAGGCATCCAAACATGGAAAATGAGCAAAATGCTTTCCAGCTGATGGAGGCGTAATGTTGCCAAGTAACTTGCAGTACCTGAAGGCTTTTTGAAAGGTGCAAGAAAATGCTCTCGGTGCCAGCTGGAGAAGGATGTCTGAGGAGCAAGCGCAGATACCGAGTGTTTTCTCAGCTTTCCCACAGAAATTCCGAGTAGGCAGCTTCTGTTTCTAAAATGTCAAACACCTTCAAAAACCCTCAGTCCAACAAAAAGACAGAAGATAAGGGGGGAAAAGGAGGGAAAAACAAAGGAAATGTTATTTTTTGAGAATAATACCTAGAAAAGCCACTATATAACGGCTTCTTTGTGTGTTTAGTATTCCTTTCTCTGTGTGCTGTATTGGAAGTAGGCAGCATCCCATGCTTAGAGATGTATGTTGCTTTAATCCTTGATGCGTGTTGGTTCAGTGACTCTTGGTCTAAAGATAGGTAGGGTTTGTGAATTTAATAGTAAATACCATGACCATTTCATTCTTGGATATGGGTCATTTATTGGAAGGGTAGAAGTTTTGATTAAAGAGCTAGTCAGGAACAAAATAAATTCCTCTTTTACATTTAGACACTACCCAGTTTTAAGGGGTTTAATTCCTGAATTACTAGAAAAAGGATAGCTTTATGTTGAAAGGGCAATAAGAACCCAGACTGGAATGGATGTGGCTTCTGAAGAGTTTTGTGGCCAGTAGTTCATATGGCTGTTTTCAGTGATTATTCCACACCTTAGCCCATTAATCTTGAAGCATTGGTAGGGCATCCTCACAAACAAGTCAAAACTATCAACAGCACTGTCAGATGCTCTTAAAATTTACTAAGTGCCTTATACAGAGCATCAGTGAGGCAATGGTTCATTTGAATGGAAGTTTGATAGAAGATTTGTTCCTCTGAATGGAGTCACAGGTGATCAGTTGTAACCAAGGTGATGTTCCTGGTTATAACATGCTGGAATCTTACATTTTGTTGCTGATACAAGTACCTAATAAGAAACAGTTCAGCAATCTCTGAGGCTTTCAGTTTGTGAAACATGCATTCTTTGGAGGCGTTTTTTTCCTTCTATTCAGGTGTGATAGCCTACTGGAATAACACAGAAGTCAGTGAAACTTCTGAGTATTTCTGGATGCTTTCCCACTTCCCAGTTTCTCAGTGAAGGACAGTATTACCTTTCTTGGGAAGGGGTGCATAAGTTGGTTTTATTCATAGGGTTTATGTTTATCCAGCAGTACTTTTAAAGGATTTTATTGTCAGAAAAAGGGCTTGTTATTGTGAAAATAAAAATCTTACCTGCCAGGTGTCTTCCCCAAAATGAGTAAGTGCCTTTTCTGTTCTGACTCTTAGAAGTATTTACTTTGTCAGATTGAATCTGAATGTCCCGGATAAACCAACTGTAAAGTATTGAGTGTTACAAATGGCTTGAAATCCTTTCACTGAAAGAACGAGACACAGAATGTAAGCCACTTGAATGATTCTGAGAGCTGATGTTATCAGAAGTTTATAGCTGCTCTGAGTAGTATACTTCTAAGAACAATGTAACTTTTCAGGAACTTGATATTGATAGGAAATAAATATTTATTAAAAGAAGTATATTAAATAAATATTTATTTACCGTTTTAAGTAAGAGAAAATGTTACACCATGGGGGCAATGGTCTTGCTGTTAGCAGTCCTGACTACTTAATAAAAAATAAAACTGAGGCCCTGAACTCTTGACTGTAAAAGAATGTGTGGTATTTGATGAGAGGTTGGGACTGTGAATCTTAGGTCCACATTCGAATAAAGTAATCCTTCCTACCTAAGTTTCTGCTAATTCTCAAGCAGAAAAGCAAGCATGAGCAGATATCAGTAAGAGGCCCTCTGGTTTTATTGGTGCTGCTTCCTATCTCTAGAGGATTTTTTTTTTTGTTTGCTTTATTTTTTTATTTTTTTTTTAAACTTTGCTCAGGACTGGTACAGCTGAAAGTATATTTTCCCTTCATTCTTAAGCCTAGACTTTGAATGGAGTTTCTCTGAGACACTTTTGTAGTGAAATCATATTCCCTACAAACATTGAAGACAAAAATAAACATCTCTGTGAAGAAAAGATTGTGTGTGGTTGTAATTTTTTCATGTATACAAGTTTATGATAAAAAGGTACATGAAAACATAACCAGTATGCTGGTTTACACTTAAAAGTCGCTATGTAGCAGTCAGAAGATACAGTTTGGATCATGAGCTGCTAAAACAAAATCTGGTGACCTGTGTTCAGTTCTAGTTAAGCATTCCTTTAAATACAGATGACAATACATTGCATTTAGCCAAGTACAGAGTACCCTATTAGGATGCTGCCTTGAACTGACCCCTTCCTGACCTCAATTCTAAGACATTATTAAGTAGTTTAAAATTGTGAAAGCTTGCAGAAAAGCTGAGAAGTGTCTGGAGAGAAAGAAACAGTTGGAATCACAGTGCAAAGATATTTTCTTCCAGAAGAAATGCTACATAATTAATGATAATGGAATTGTTTAAAAATTAACTCTATGGTTATTTCACGTTGTTTGATAGCGTACGCTTCATCTCAGAAGAGCGTAAACAGATGTGTTTGAAGCCCAGAATAGTGACACGTATTGCAATGCCTTCCCCAGGAATAAATTAATACTTCTTGCCTGTGAGTAATCTGATAAGAAAGTATTTTTGGTGAAAACTGTTGTGGGTGCACTATATTGAATTTTGACTGGCAGTGGTGATGCCTAGGGTGTGTTATGATAAATAAAATGGTAAATAAAGTGATCAAATTATTCAGAACCTTTCTCTGAATGTGTTATTTGTACTGTCTAGGAAAAAGTGCAAGAAATACAAATGGGCAATTTAGGGATAAACAGCAGGCTTAGAAAATTTGATCTCAAAATGCCAAGAGGTGGGTCATCTCAAGTTACCTCCATGCTATACACAGTTTCAGTGTTCAGTACTCTGAATTGTTTGTGTTGCTTTGTAGTGGGAGGCTAAGATCCTACAAGGCATTATTTAAAGAAACTGGTTCCCTTGTAAATGACCATTGGAGTTTGCCATTTGTGTAGCGCGTGACTGAAGTGTTGCCCATGAGTGCATACACTCATCCTCACTCCAAGGAGGCTGTGTAAGGCCAATATGGCCTTGGGTGCAGAATGCTTTTAATGCCACCCTGTAAGTGTTGGGCATAGATTCCGAAGTGCAGGCAGCAAGTGGTAGCAAACTGTTGACCTAACTGCCTGATTTGGTTCTAGCAGAAATACTGACACGTAGGAGATACCAGAATGGGGCTGTTGTCACTAGTTAAGGGAGTCTGATTTAGTCTACTTACCTATTTTAGAAGAACAGAAGGAATGCAAAAGAGGAGAGCAAGTTATAAAGCCCCCTATTACTCTTATATTAATTTCTTTCCTCTGTTCACTATTCACTAAGTCTGCTACAGAGCTGTGGGTCTGAAGATCAAACCTCTTAAACTCCACACAAAGGTTTTGGCAGCCATGGGAGATCACAGCCTTCCACTGTGGGCCTGGTGCCTGGTGATCACTTGGGGCAGTGTCCAATTTTATTTCACCCTTTCTCAAACTGGAAAAAAAAAAAGAGTAAAAAAAGAAATCTGTCCAAAGTTACAGATAAAAGATAAAAGGAAGGGTGAGTAACGTGTAAATGCAGTTATGAGTTAGCAGCACTTGAAGTTGCCTTGGATGTTCCAGGCGCAAAGTTTGGTACAAGATGATATCCCTACTCACTGACTGCCGC